CATTACAAATGTAATCAGAAAGGTTTTTCTGTCTGGGATGGAACTGAGAGAAGCCAACTCTTCAGGGATTAGCATTCTGAATCACAGAAGGAAAGGACTTGTACTCTGGTGTCCCACAACCCAGATGAGTACACTAACCACTAAGCTATTCCAAGGCAGGAGGTGAGTCTGCCTTCTCTCAAAAAAAATGTCTAAAGGGCTGGATTTTGTTTCAACACAGTGCAAAAACAAATTGTAAAGCTTCCCCCTCCCTTCCCCCTCCTCTCTCTTCACCACCCCACCCCCCCACCCCCCCCACCCTTAAATTGAATTCTTGTTTTCAAGCCAGCCCAGTTTGGTAATAGTTCTGTTTAAATTGAATAGACCAGACACGTTTGTTCCTGTTTGTATTTAGTAGATATTCAGTCACAAAAAATGAAACAAAATAAAACAGTCCAACCGATGTTAAGAGATACTTAAAACTGAAGTCAAGACCAGAACTAGAGAAAGGCAGCTTAACACCTAAAGGTTTCAGGGCACCTAGTGAAAATACGTGAATCATGGAAAGCATGGTTTACTGCTAGCACTTGGAATGCCATGATCCTTGGGAGGTCATGCATTTGGAAGTCTGCCTCCAACAGGAGCCTGAAAGAGCTGCCTGTTTCTTGCAGGTTACCTACCTGCAGGTGAAGATTCGAGTAGGGGCTTTACAAGTAGAAATTACATAGATACCTTAGCGAGAAAGCAGGGACAGCGAGACAGTAACACGGGACGTGTCACCCGGAGCTCCCACTGCTCACCCAGCCGGGGCCGTCTGTCCGCGTGTGGGACGGTTGGCCGGAGCGGGAGGCCGAGCCCGCACCACCATGGACAGCTCACCGGCCCCGCCGCAGCCCGCTGAACGGGGTCCAGGCTGGCCGGCTGCTCCGCCGCGGGGTGCCAGCCGCCGGCACCGCTGGGCTATACATAGTAGGGACAGGCTTTTTATGAATTAATAACTGACTCTTCGCCCTCAAATCTCAAAATTATTCCTTTCGGTGTCTACTGGATTCTAGGAACCAGACAAAAGATTTGGCACAGCCCTCTGCAGCTCCACACAGCCTCTTCAGTATTTCCCACCCACCCGTCCCCCCCCTCCCCCCCCTCCCCCCGCTTTCTCGAGTGCATAAATTAAATGCATATTGCCTAAATAAACTTCGCAGTGTGTCAATAGCTGAACTTGGGGAACTCCGGCCGCCTCTAGGGTGGGAGAGGCAGCTCTGCGCAGCTACGCTGTCATTGTTTAATAAAGGAGATTAGTGTGTGCAGATAGAGCGCTTCGAAACATCTGGGTCTTGCTGATGGGGAGAGGGAAAAAAACAGTTTTCTCTTTCAAACAATCTTTTGACCCAATTGGAAGATTACACCATGTCAGATTTGGACTGAGTAGTTTCTCACCCCTGACAGCCCTGGGAGAGCAGAGGGGAGGAAGGCAACCTTTGTGAGAACTGGGTACAGCAAAGCTCAAGGCTGTGGGCAAGAATGAGTACTTGCTGGAAAGCCTGCCTAAATCTGTAAGCAATCGCATTTGCTACTATCTGCAGAACAGCCTTGCCCTCAAGACCACCCTGGGAGCTTCGGGAAAAAAAAAGGGGGGGGGGGGGAATAACCTAAAATAAAAAAAAAAAACAGCTGAGACTTCGCACCTCGCCTGCAGAGAGCCGCGCTCACTGGCTTTGAACCCCACTGGATCACACGGTTTGTGCGAGTCTCCGGGAATTTGGGGTCCTCTCAAGACAAGACCGGCAACCGCTGTGCTGCCGCTCCCTTCCCTTCCCCGCCAGCCTCACTCCAAAGCAGTCAGCACGCCTGTGTTTTTTTTGCTGAACACCATTTTTTCCACCCTGGGAAGACTGGGGAGGTTAAACTCCCCATCTGAACCGGAGCCTTGGACGAGTGCAACTGAGGTTATAGAAATCCGGGAGGGGAAATGACGAAAATGCTTTATTGTGAATAAAACAAGAGGGAGGAGGGAGAGGCGGAACTTCACAGAGGTGAAGGATGGGAAGTTTGCAGAGAGGAGGATTTAGTCTGTCTCTGGGCACCGGGCAGGGGGGTTAGTCATTAATTCCTTCTGGATCTCTGAGGCTGCATTGGCATCTCCTCCCCAATTAGCTAAACCTGTCCCACTTGTCTCCTCTTGTTTCAGGAGAAGGTTTTGCTCCGGGGGGGAGTCCGGTCACACACCCGCCCGCAACCCCTGGCCCTATTCCTTGCTCAGGAATTACGTGCCAGACCTGGAACAGGGACTTATCTTCCTAGCCAAACTCCCAGGTCAGTTTCCTCGTAGGAAAGCTGATTTATGCCTGTTTATACGTATGGAAAAAAGAAGCAGAAGCCAATCGCGGCATCCTTCCAAAATCTCATTGTCTTTGAGGCGGGAAGACGGGAGAAAAGGAAAGCAGAAAACCTAAAATGATAAGGTTTGCCTTGTCGCGGCAGGCAGGGCTTGACCAGAAAGGCAAACACAGGGGTTTGCCTTCACCTCACGGCTCCCTCCGTGCTTCCCGGCTGGAAAAATCAGCGGCAGCCGCAAGAACATCGCCTTGGCGGGGAGCCGTGCAGTAACCGAGACCCCGGCAGGTGAAACCAGAACAAAACTACAGCTTTTCCTCGCTCCTAAACACGGGGACAGCCGTGCCTGGGGTGACCCATGCGCGGGGAGATGCTTTGGTGTAGGTGCGATTCCCGTCCCAAAACCTGTACCAAAGCATCCCTCCTCGGTCCTTCCTCTAGTTCAGCATCATCCTCTCCCCGCTCTCCCCGGGGTCAGGGGACACCCGGAGGTAGCAGGAAAGAGAAGCTGGGGCCGGCGGGGTGATATGGTGCAGGTAGAGGGGGTCAGTCCCCGGGAGCAGCTTCCCTGGGTGCACATCCCCCTCCCCAGGCTCCATCCTGCGGGGAAAAGACGGATTTAAACCCCTGCAGAGGGTACTTTTCACCCTGTCCGGCCACGGAGGAGGGCTCAGGCTTGCGGTGAAGTTAGGTATCAGGAGGAGTTTGCTCACGGGTTTTGTGTAGGTGGCAGGAGAAAAAGCGCTGTGCCGGTTGTTGTAGATGACAAAGAGCCTTTGGGGGGGGAGGGAGGGGGAAGGAGAAGGGGGGGGGGGGGTGTTATCATGGTGTGATAGTAAGTGTCCTAAACAGGTTTGGCACTGCTCAGTTCCTGCCATATTAGCAAAGCCATAGTTGGAATGTAGGGTTTTTTTTTCTCTCTCTCTTTTTTTTTCCAAGCCCACTGAGGCAGAGATGAGGCAAACTCAGCCATAGGAAGGTGGTTAGTGATGTCACAAGTTTGGTCTTTTCAATAAAAGCAATAAAGAAGGGTCTCCCTCACTATATATATTAGGAGAAGCTTCTGTTCTTCATAATAAAAAGAGCAGCAAGGGAGAAAAGCACCTGCTTTTAACACCTTTTATTTAGCACTAATCTGTTGCAGGCAGAATAAAAACTCTGTAGGGCTGGATTTCTTTTGAAAAGTTTTTTTTTTTGATTTATTTAACCTTTTTTTCTTTTTTTTTCCCCTTTATTTTTTTTTCTTTTTCTTAAGCATAAACATAGTTTTGGAAGAGATTGCTGAGAAGATCAACCACTGTTGGCCAGGGTGATCTCTGAGAGGCACAGAGGGCTGTAACTCAAGGAAAAGGTGAAGTAATAAATTATGAAGAAACTTCAGTATTCCAAGTTTAAAAAGGCTATTTATTTTTCCTGAGGCTGTAAGGGTTGGGGTGGTTGGTTATTTCTTTTTATTATTTTTTATTATTATTATTTCTAGGGGGAAGGAAATTCTAAAAATATTTGATGGACGTTTTACTTTGAACATGAGCAATAGACTTATGAATGTGTGGGGGCTCTTTTCAGGGGATCTTACAATTATTTTTAATTAGTCGAAAGGGCAGTGTAAATCAAAGAAGCCTTTTAGCCATACATTTTCATTTATAGCCTACCAGGTGTTCAGGGAATGTATTTACTGCATAAACGATTTAATATCTTCAGCATGATTTCTATTCCAGCTCTCATGTAGTCGCTTTTATTTGAGGGTGCGGTATGAAATTCGGCTAAGGAGCTGGACTTAGAAATCGTGGCAGCAAGTGTCTTTTAACGTGAAATAACCTGCAGGGAGAACAATGGTTTGCTCTGCACCTAAACTTTTGCCAGAAAGCGTTCCTTAGTACGGGGAGAGGATGAGAAAGAGCAACCGGCCGGCAGACCTCAGAGTTCTGATGCGGTTTGCGAGGGTGTTGGGCAGGCATTTTGCTGTAAATCAGGCTGTCGGTGGCATAAGCCAGCTACCCCCCCGTTCCTGGGGGCAGCACCTGTCGGCGGGCAGGTTTCTTCGGGCAGGTTTCAGTGGGGCGCGGAGCCCCGCGGAGGGTGCGCGGCCGCGGATGGCTGAATGGTGCCTGGATGCTGCCCAGCCGGAGCCGGCGGCCCCAGGTGCTAGCTGTTGCCTGCCTGCGCACAACCTGCGGAGAGCCCTTCTTCTGCAGCCGGACAGGTTGACTTCCAAAGTGGTTCCCTTTGGAACAGAGAAAGTGGTTCCCTTTGGACCACCCCTCTAAACCCCCTACCATGCTTTCCCCCTGTACCTTACTTCGTAATAGCCGAGGGCACTTTCTTTCGCAAGCGGGTTGTATAAAAGGGCGGATTGTATTACCTTTGTTTTTTACATAAGTGTTTTCCCGTGATGGAAGAATTCAGTCCCTCCGCCGGGGGGGGGGGGGTGGGGGGGGGGGGGTGGTGGTCATGGTCTGCAGGCGGAGCGGGGGTCCCCGGCGGCTCCCCTGTAGCTGTTCGCTTCTCACGGCAGCGCAACCTGACACAGATACCTGCAACACCCTGGCCGGATTGGCGGAGGGCGAAGTGGAAGGCGAAAGAGGGAGAGGAGGAGAAAACTTTCCACTAATTTATTTTTTTGGCCAGAAGCGCCTATGTTCATAGACTGCGAGTCCTTCCCTCAGCCCTCCCCCCTCAGCCCCCCTTTACTAGCGTACAATTAACATCATTAGGAGTCAGCCCTGCAGCTAATAGGGGAACCGCGACCAACAACGGTAGGTGCGTGAAAGGAGAGGCGGCAACGACCCCAGGCTGGGCATTTGGGCTTGATCTAGAAAGTGTCCCCACTGACGGGATGGCCCTCCGCACTGTGCTGCGGCAGGGGAGGTGGTGACCTAGAGGTAAACACGAAAACGGAGCCGTGGAGGGAGGTGGGAGACACACAGAAAGAGATAGGAGCTCGGCTGCAGAAGATGCGAAGAGCTTGGCCGGAGTCCTCAGAGTCTGCTGACCGCGTGCGCTGTCGGATGTCCCCCTTTCTTCGCTCCTTTTTGATTCCGGTCCTGGGAAGGGCTGATCTCTCGTCTCCTCTTTGGCTGTGGGTATCCCGGCCGGGCTCTCTCTCTCTCTCTCTCCGCACATGTTCCTAGGGCGCCATCTCTTTGCAAAACCCTCCGTCCTCCCGCAGGTCTCCCAGAGGCTGCTTCGGAGCGTGTGAACATCGCAGGCTCCAGCGCAGTCCAACCTGCAGAGCCAAGCATGCTTCCCAGCCCCCGAGCCTGCCCGGGCTGCCGCTCTGCCTAGACCTCTCTGGCTCTCCAGCTAGGCAGCGCTCTTTCCTTGAACTCCCTTGTCCCCGGCACACTTGTGGACCAAACTTTCCGGAAGCTGACTGAGGACGTGAACCTGACTTTTTTTTTTTTTTAGCAGAGGTATACTTAAAGACAGATGTATAGATGCATCCCCCCGCCCCTCCGCCCCCGAATCTGCGTTCGTCTATGTGTGTGTGTGTGTCCGTGCTTGTGTTTGCAGAGCAAGGGGGAGCTGAGCTGACTTTGGAGAATCTCTCCTTATCTGCAAAGAGGGCTTCTCCTGTAACGTAAAGCCCTGAGACAGCGGCTTAGAGGACTAGAATTGATCAGGGCTCAAGGAGATAAATAGACGTGCTCTCTAAACCAGAGTCAAAAAGGAGCTAGATGATTCTTTAACTAATATTGAGAAAGATCTTGCCTCCGGGCAGCGAGACACAGAGAAGGAGGGAGGGAGGGAAGGAGGGAGGAAGAGACAGACAGCAGGGAAGGGAGAGCGACGGAGAGAAGTTTGGAAGAAGTGAGCCGCAGCCGAGAGCTCCGCAAGTTTGTTTTTCCTCCACAGCCTCAGAGTTGGTGGAGCCGAAAGCGGGGAGCGCTTGAGGACGGCGCTGGCGCCCGGATCCCTCGGGACTGACCTCCCTTTCCTTGCAGGTTTTAAGACCCGGAGGATACAATGTTCACTAAACTCTTCCAGCAGTGGAGTTTCGCGGTGTTTCTGCTGAGTTATTCCGTGCCCTCTCACGGGAGATCAGTTGAGGGGATCAGCCGCAGACTGTGAGTTTCTCTTGCTTTTTTTTTCCCTTTTTGGGTGGCGGTGCGGGTGGGGAGGGGACGCAGCCCCGCAGGCTTTGCAGCCCCAGCAGCGCTCTGCAGCGGAGCGGCTGCGGGTTACCTGCCCCAGGTAACGCAGGTGCTCCCTGGTGGCCTCTAGGCGATAGGCAGAGAGCATTTGGGGCAGGGAAAGGGCGCTTTTCAGCTGGCCGGCCTTATAAAGCATTTGGGAAGAAGACGATAGAGCTTTTGGGAAGGAGTATTAGAGCTGAGGGTCTCTTCTTCCGAGGGGAGCAGAAAGGCAGCTCTGTGTTTGTCCAGCATGTGCTGTTGCCCATGCATCTTTCTGCACACCGGGAGGGTCCTGGTAGGGAGAATCCTGTTTCATCAAAATGCTGCGTGTTACACTAAATAACATATACTTCTTTGCACTGGCATGGAGCCAATATCGGTAAGGGTAGAAGAGACACACGGTAGTGAGGGCTGTCATGAAACTGAAATACTGAGCAACTTCTTTGGATTTCTGCCACTGAATTCAGGGAAGAAAAAATAAAAATTAAAAACAATAATAAAAATCCAAAGGGAATCCAGTATCTTGGAGGCAGAAGCATTTTATTTTTTTTTTATAAATGATAATGTAACCTAAGAAAGTCTGTTCAGGAAATGACCTCTTTGCTCCTTCCAAAATAATCAGCATGGTTTATACTAATACCCCTACGCATAGTGCAGAGGAGAAGCCACTGGGCTGATGTAGGAGCAGCTGTCTCACACATCTAACTCACTGGCTTTCACTGGACTTGCATCAGATTTTCTAAGGAAGAAACACCTCAGTCATACTGCGTGGAGGGCTGTATTGTCACTAAGTTCAAAAGGAAGTCAGGATGGGAAAAGAAGGTTGGAAAATCCAATCACAACTTATAGGGAAACATGACACAGCAAACGATTTCAGATTGTTTTCCTTGTAAATGTTTTATTACATACATAAGGACAAGATCTCCAAATAGCACTTCCTCTGCCTTTTAAGCGACAAAGAAAATCCCCCAGGTGAAGTGACTACAGACACACCTAAGCTTTGGCACCAGGCAGACAGCTATTACAAATCTCCTACAGCAAATCGTGTAGAACATGTTATTGCTGATAGTGCTACAGTGTATCCTTCCCAGTCCATTAATGCTGAGCTGCTTTGTACTCTTTCAAACTATTGTTCAGCTATTTCTTTCATTTGCAACCATTTTCCTCTCTTTGAATACAGAGAAAACAAATCTCAGTTTCAGAAATAAAAAATCTGCAGTAGTTATCTGAAAATAACTGAAGTACAGTCAAATGCTGTTATTTTCTTGGCTAGGAAACTCTGAGCTGGATCTGAGCCAAATTTGTATTTTAAAGAAGTTAGATTTGCTAAGAAATACTCTCCCTTGTTTGTTTTTTTTTGTTGTTGTTGTTGTTTTTTGTTTGTTTGTTTTTGTGTTTTTTTTTTTAAGCTGGTGTTTTCCTAACACTTGTTTTTAAAGGTCAGGATCAGAGGTCTTTCCAACATCCCCATTCCATTCTGACAGGGGGAAGAAAAGTGGAAGCTAAGTAGTCAAAATGCATTTCTCAGCTCCCTCTTTGCTATGGCATGTAAAACACACATAAGAAACCAGTTAGCTGTCAGTTAGTGGCATTCACGTAGTTTTGTTTGTGGGTACAGCACAAACACAGACACCACACTCAAACATGTGTCATGTTTTAATATCACCACAAACCATTCCTAGAGTTAATGGTTAATAACTCACTTAAGCCTAGAGATATTTTTTTTCAGTCAAAGGTTTAAACCAGTAATGGATGAAAATACTGAATCACATCATTAGACCCATGCAAAAATAATCAAATTGACGTAGGCCTGGTTCTACAGACTTTACTGAGGCAAATCTCCCATGGAAAGCAGCAGCAAATTGTCCTGAGAACAGATTGCCAGACATATTATTTGTAGTAGAAATGCTTTAGTTGCTGAAAAACTTCTGAGAAACCCAGTAATGCCTCAAAGGGAAATTAGATATTTTTATCAGCATGTCCAGACACTGCAGCATCATGTCCCCAGATCTGTTCAAAATATTTTTACTAACCCTGAGATAGGTTGAGCAGTTTTCACTCCCTCTGGAGCCAGTGGCAAGAGCACTCAGTCTTGCAAAATCTAGAGCTGACTGAATCCTCTCTAGTTATTTTGTTAAACTTATGATGAGCCACAATGTGAATGCTCAAGGATAACAACACTTAAATAAGAACAACTCTCTGAAACATAAAGTTGTTGCTTGAAGACTGCTGCTTCTCAGTGACGCTAGATATCTAGGGTAAAAAATGAAGAAGGAATGTGCCTGAAAAGAACAGCTTATCTAGAAGTACATGAAGTCAGGACAGCCACAAGTCTACTGTTTTCCATGTAATGAGACATCGAGTCTCGTATGTGCATAGTACTTGCATACAGCCACTAGTTCGGATGCTCTGGTCAAGTACAAACCAACATCCTTCACTCAAAAGTGCCTACCACATTTTAGCTTAGCATTTATTGCATGTGGTTTGGGTACAGACCTTTTCCCTGCATGACAGGTACCTTTTGCAGCAGGGTGGAAGGGACCTCTAGTGGGTCATCTTAACCCTGACAGTCTAAGACTTTCTTACGTATCATACCCAAGATGTGAATGCAATCATTCCGGTTTTCATTGCCTTCCTACTCTGAGTGTGTGGGTGAGATACTGTTGATATCTCTACCATGAAGCAATTCTTACCTCAGCCTTCTCCTTGATTTACAAACATAGGATTTGTTTGAATAATTGAGGCAGAAGGAGGCAGAAGGTTAAAGAGATATGTATCTACCACATCTTCTTTGTTTTAAAGAGATTTTTGATCTACAGCATACAAAGGAAATTGATAGGCAAAATGTAATCCTTAAGTCTGGCTGAGTAATAGAAGTCATGTGAAACGTAACACTATGTAATGTTATACAATCATCTGGAATGGCAGAATGTTATTTGGGGCCAGACTTGATGCTAAATATCATACAGACATTTAAACAGAAACCCACCCTTTCTGGCACACTAACACCTCACATGTCAATCCCTGCATTATTTTGGAAGGCATACTCCATCAAGATGTAGATCTTGTAATGCTCTTTGACTGTCTTGTGTGTACTGGAACCGAATCTTTAGGTTTCAGCTCTGTAAAATGGAATAGCTTTTCAACCAGGAGTACTTTAATAACAGGCTTTAGAGATTCAAGATTTTGTCACAGTGGGTAAATTGACCAAATACACATTACAGGATTAAGGCAGCTTTAGGTTGTCTGTGATAAAAGGAATTATCCTTGGTAGTTTACAAGAGGCAGTAGGAAAGCTTTGCTCATCACATACGACATGCATACTGTTTTAGACTCAGTAAAGCACTGAGATTTTGTGTGCTTTTTATAAACTAGAAGAGTAAAAGGAGAACTGCATTTCCCACACAAATATCCTGGGAAAACAGATTACTGAAGCTAAGAATGTAACGTGAGCCACAATGGACAGCTTGACAAGAGCACAGAAGTATGCCACTCAGAGGAGTCCAAGGTGCTAGTTTTATTAGCGCACTTGCAAATCAGACAGACCTTAATGAGAAGACTGTTAGAGATGACTGTTGGAGAGCTTCAGGGAATGCACTGCACAAAAGCTTTTCCTGGGGGAGATTTTTAGCTTGTGTTAATGTTCACAGCTGCACTAAAGAGAAAGAAATAATATGGGTTCAGCTCAGTGTTATCACATTGCATTTTTGCTTTGGGACATTGAGTTGAAGGGCACAAAATATTTGCCCTAAAGCCTGAAGTCATCCAAAACTGATTTCAGGATGTTTAAAACAGAGACAATGTTTGCTCACAGGCTCAAGTATATCTAGGCCTGCTTTTGAGCAGATATCCCTACTGTATGACTTCATGAAAAACTAGCAGCCATCTTTCAGTCTCGTGGAATGGGGGAAAGCTGCTATTTGAATTTTGCACTAAGAGTGATGTAGTGTCACTCCAACCCACCACATGAACCCAGTAGTCAAAAAGTGAAGCTCTGCAAATACAAAAAGTGACAGGTGTGCTCTTAAACTTATGCTACTTGAAGTTGCCAGTTTCAGGTAGCTTGTTGATCAAATCACAGTCTAAAGAATTTGGCTGAAGGGACTGAGAAACGTAAGTTGCAGAACACTACCAATCGTTTAGCATGCTATCTTTGTTCACCACATTTTGCGACCTGGTAACATAGCAAGATAATTAGGGATGGGACGGAAGGAAGAAATATTCACTCACAGTTATGTGTCTTCTCCCATTTCACCCACATGTAGAAACAACTTTTTATCCAGCTAACTGACCAAATCATTATATGACAGGCAAGGCCATGAATTCATTTTCTTTGGCCGGTAAAAATCCAGTCACATGGAGTACCCTGATGCAATATGAGAGGATACATAGCCAATCTCTGCACACTGAACTAGGGCAATTGGAAGGATAAACTGTATTATAGCATTCATGGGAACATAGCTAAAATCCCAGCCTGTGCTCTTTCTGTGGTTCACAGTGCAGCTGTGTGTCTATTCCACATCAAGGCAACAGCATGTATTTTATCATGGTTATTTATTACCCAGGTGCCACTTGTATCTTATTTCCTCAGATGTTTCATACATTCTTTGCCAGTACAACATCTCTGAAAGACAGATAGCTAAACCATCACCCAAAGACAAAGGTTAGTGAACCAAAAGGTCACAAACTCTGGAAAAGCACCAGAGACACACTCAAACAAACTAGGATGCTCTTGAAGAAGATCCAGTGAAGAGAGCTGGAATAAAAATCAGAGAGCACAGCAGACAAGAAAACTGGTCCCAGAAGTTCACGCTTAGAAGAATACTAGAAAGGCATCAAACAAATAATTAGACAGAAGTGGCCAAGCAGTAAATTCAACAGGAGTGGCTGAGGCTCTTCTCTGCTGGTGCTCAGGCTACCTCTCTGGTTAGCTCATTATGGACTGAAGTGCCTATGTTTCAGGTACCCAAATTCAAACATTTTTCCATTACACTCCTGCAATTGCACTTATTTAAATTTAGAAATGAATTACACTTTTATGCATTTATTTATGTTTTTGAAGTACATGACTGAGCAAAGGAAAATTATTAGAATGATTCTGTATAAACACTGCTTTCGGCTTCAGTACAAGTACTTGTTATTCCCTGTCTTGCTTGACTGCAGTGCTCCATTATCTGACCCTTTGGTTTTCCTATCTCTGACAACTGCCTTCCTGCTTTTACTGCCTGAAGTGTGATATATTAAGAGTTGTAATGCTTTCCTAGAACAGAACAGTGACTAATCCAACTCCAGGTCCATTGCTGTATGATCAGTCAGCTGAGTATTATTACCCGCTTAGGTCTTTCCCTTCTCTGCAGGGAGTAGCTACTCTACTTGCTCCAGCAGTATGACTTAACTTGATGTCTCCAAGCCTGAGAGCTGGTATACAGTCACTCACTGTGTGCCCACCACTGCCAAAAGAGAGAGGAGCTCTCCCAAACACTAGGCAACAACCAAATCCTAAAGGTATTTTTCCCCCTCCTCTCTTCTCTTTCTTTAGCAAACGAGCTGTATCAGAGCACCAGCTATTGCATGACAAGGGCAAGTCAATCCAAGATTTACGGAGAAGAATATTCCTTCAAAATTTAATTGAAGGTGTCAACACTGCAGAGATCCGTGCAACTTCAGAGGTTTCACCTAATCCTAAGCCTGCTACCAACACGAAGAACTACCCTGTGCGATTTGGTAGTGAAGATGAGGGCAGATACCTAACTCAGGAGACAAACAAATCACAGACCTACAAAGAGCAGCCCATGAAGGTATCAGGGAAGAAAAAGAAAGCAAAACCTGGAAAACGCAAGGAACAAGAGAAGAAAAAGAGGCGAGCCCGCTCGGTTTGGCTAACTTCTGGCATGTATGGAAGCATCGTGACTGAGAGCCCACTCTTGGACAACTCTGTAACTACACATAATCACAATTTAAGGTAATTCTGCTATATCTTTGTGGGGGCATACCACATATTTACTGAAATTGTTATCCTTTGGTGTGAGAGGCCAAGGCCTCACTCATAACTGGAGTAATAGCACACTGTTTTGCTCATAAGCGAGCGATGGCTTTTCAAGCAGTGCACAGTCTCAAGGTGCTTTCTGAAGGTAAGTACCCTTTCCACTTAACATTTGTGACAAAGTCTGTCTTTCCTATGACAAACAATTCAAGTAAAATACTTACTGCCAAAATGAACCTTCTGAAGCTGAGTTAGTAGTAGGCAGAGTTATTTCTGCAAAACCAAAGCACAACATAGCCATTAAAATTCCCTTTCCTGTTTTAATTTTAGTGTCTCTCACATCAGATCTTGGTCCCACACTTGGGCCTCAGCAGATTGAAAGCTTTGAGTTTTATTTAAGGCTCTGCATCTATAAAATGGCGAAGTTTTCTTTCCTCCTTCTCAACGCCTCCCCTTTTTGGCAAATTTCCTACCCTTACTTTACAGTTTTTCATTTTACTGCTTAACCTTAGGGGAGAACACGGAAAATTTCCCTCTTAGTAATATCTGCAAACAACGCAGACCAGCCTTTAACCATAAAATTTTCCCTGCCATTAGGATTTTTTAATTCAGCACCATCTTCTTGCCAGCTTGTGAAATAATTACATTACTGCTGAAAAATGTTGAGCATTGCTTTTGGAGGGAGACGTGCTTCCCTCATGTATGACAATGAAGGGTTTTTAGGGCAGTGGTGAGCTGAAGACTTCACTCTAGGTGCCCCAAGTGACTCATCTGCTTGCAGTCATCTCTGCTTGAGTGGAAGTCTGCACACTTGCAGGCAAATCCAAGGAGTCTGTCCCTCAGTTCTCCCCAGATGTTTGCATTTTCCCACCCTTTTCTCTGTTCCTCCCCTTTGGTAGAACAGAAATGTAAGAGGAGTGCCCCTCGCTCGCAGTTAATCCCTTAGAAAGAGACACCAGCTGTGGGATTTACTAAAAAAAACCTACACTCTTGGGTTAAGCTTTACAGGCCACAGTTAGCAACATGCTCCATCACTTCAACTTCTGCTGGGATATACAGAAGTTACCAGCATTTGGGGTTAGTCATTCAGTGTCTTGGACCATAAATGTGTTAGCATGGCTGTAGCAGTTAGTGGTGTAGTAAGAAGGGCTGGTTTGTCTCAGTGCCTTAGGAGGCATGCTCCAGGTCTCTCTGGTCATGAGAAACCTGACTTTTCAACGGACGTTAAAAAACTGTGGTTGCCAATAAATAACATCTGTCTTCAACACATAGAAATCTTGACTGTAGGAAAAAAATAGTTATTTTTTTCTTACTACTCTGTCTTTGGTTTGGACACCATAGGTACAACCCTGTTGATTTTCCTTGCCCAGCTTTTCTCTTTCAAAAGTATATTTGGATGGCTGAAGGTAGTCAGTTTTACCTTACTGAAATTATTTCTCAAGATGCAGTATTTCTTCAGGGCAAGAAACAGCTTCCTAAAGAGGACCTATATTTTAGATACTTAATTGAAGATAATTAAACAAAGAGAAATCACAAAACAGGAAAAGTGAATTTCTCCTTCACAATGACAGGGCATACATAATATGCTGGTTCAGCTCTTAAGAAACTGGCGAAAGATATAATTTCTACATTTAAATGAAAACAAGTCTCAACTCCCTGACATATACTTTAGATAGAGGTAGACAGGTTGAATGCAGCTGTCTCTGTGGCTGCTGGCAGAAGGTGGCCAAGCACATCTTCATGAAGACATGACCACGTCTGAATGAGGTTGGTTCCTCAGCTGTACTGAGCTGAATCAGGAACTTCTACTCTATCTGCTGGTGGAGGGCGAGGAATGTGTGTGCAGACAGGGTTTCCATTTGCTACACCAGTAGCAACTGCTTTTGTAACACCCCTAAATCTAGCTGCCGCTTAGGAGAAGCATCATTACTTTACAGTGAAGAAGTGGATATGCTTAATGCATTAAGATAAACCTTAAGCACTTAAGCATGCTTTTCACTGTATCTTTGTGCTGCTTTTCTTCTCAACACACTGAATTAAAATCCTCATGCCAGTTTCCTATGCACAAACTTGATCTCAAAATTTTGGGTTTAGGACAGAAAAAAAGACCAAAAATGCTTTCTAGATCTTTTGACTTATTACAGGAAATATCTCATAAAAGAAGCCAATCTTGCAAAACATGGAACCAAATCACAGAAGGCATCTTACATGTAGGGGTTAGTATGGAGCCCATTGTCAAGATGTGGCTTAGCTTAAACTCTAAAACAAAGCCTAAACTCCAAGCTGAATTAAAAATGTTACCCTCTTAGAGACAGATCTGTGTAGTGCAGACACACATATACAGTCATGCTGTATGAATTGTGTGCTATTATTATACACATTCTAATATAGCCTGAATACACCCTAATATTACCAATTAATTACTAAGGAGCTTCATGCTAGTATTTCCATTCCAGGCACTTAAAAATTCTTTCTCAGGGACATTCCAGCTATATTCCTGTTCCAGTTCAATTAAACTGTTCTTACCCAATTTCCTAAGAAACCTTTCAAATGAGTAGACTCCCTAACATTAAATGTAGTCTCACTTTCAATGCGCACATAAAATAAAACCCCTCAGACTCACAAGGATTTGCATTTTTTTTTGTGTCTCACACCCACACATGCCTGCCCACAGCTTTGGTGATCAGTCCAGCCACAGGGCAAATCCATTTCCATCCTATACAGCTTTGTATTCCACCCTATAGCTGCTTCCCTGGGAATAAACATGCGTTACAGAAATGTGCTGTTCACAGGGAAAGGGAAAAAAGCCCAACCCTTCAGCATTCCCTGTGGCACCACTAAGAAGTAACTTAAAATAATATTGTAGTATAAGTAGTACACTAACAGGGTAGGAGCTGGCTCTGCTTTTGTTCCCATGCCTTCACAAGGAAGGGAAGAGTAGAAATCTCATACCTGGCTGCCAGTATCCCTTAGAAAACTCCCAAAGCTTTGGACCGTATACAGCTGACTCTTTCAACTTGGACTGAATGCAATGGCAGTCAGAGCTTAACACTAGGAGATGCTTCTTTTCTTTCAGGTATAAGCTCTTTGGCTTACAGAGGGAAACTTTGAGGATTCATAATCTTTTCATTCATTCAAGAGTTTAAAGAGATGGTGTCAAGGGTCTGGTCACTTTAAGACCTGAGCTGCCTTTATTGCATGAGTACTGTATGCACTCATGTACATGACACCACAGAAATATATACCTCTAAGATGAACAGACCCTTGTCTAATAGGTGGTCTGCGTTGTAAAGATAGACCAAACAAGCCCCATGACATTGTTTTAATCATAAACTTAGCATCACCCAAGCCGTTAACAAAAGGGGCATGATTGTCAAAGTGTTCAGTAAGGACTGTCTTCTTCTTATCTTCCAAACAAATTTCTCACTTCTTTCTTTTGTTTTATTTTGGGTATTTTTTTTTTTTTTTTCCATTTAGCACTTGGCATATTTATTATAGGTTGATGCAATTTTTCTACCTGTAGCACTCAGGAATCTTCTTGCATAAGGCTCTAATGAAAACTAAAACCTTTTCCTATTTCTCTGGTTGTACAATATAGTGTTGTGACAAACTGCAGGTCTCCATACTGCTACCTGAGTTGTATTAAAGCAAATCTACTAGAGGTCTTCAGAAGATGTCTAAAGCTGGCCTGGTTATTTCAAATGTGTACCAGCAAGGCTTACCCATGGTAGTCTGAGACACTCTTGATATTAATTTTTATGTCCACGTATTTGAAGTGAAAATTAATTTTTCTGTTATTTTCTGTCCTTTTTTTTTTTTGCAGGAGGCGCTGACGTTTTCAGCAAGAGATTTTTGGAAGACATATTGCAGTATTCTGTAATAGTGAACATATGGGAAGTATTAAAATATTTATTACCTGTAAATATTGTAAATGCTCAGAATAAAACCTTTCCCCCCCATTGCTCTCTGAAACTGCACATTTGGTTATTGTGGATTTTCCCCCTTTTTTTCTTTTTTTTTTTTTTTTTTTGGCTAAGGCTAAGACAATTATTATTGTCACATTTACCATAATTTATTTTGTTGACTGGTGTATTTATTTTGTGAACGTATCTTGGTGCTGCTGACTTTCTATATTTTTTGTAACATAATGCACTTTAGATATACATATCGAGTACATTGATAACTGACATAAAATGTTCCTGTTTTGTGGTTGACTTCAACGAATGCCTACATACAATTGTTCAAATTGATTTTCCTTTGTGCATGTATAATAGCAATATTTTAAAATTTGTAAAGAATGTCTAATAAACTATAATCTAATTAAATCGTGACTCAGAGGGAAAAATGTGTCCTTTAGGAATTTCAAGAGCAGGAACACTATTTTTTTCTTTACTACATTTGAAAATCATTTTAAATTTAATGTGTTTTCATTGGTTCAAACTTCCACATTTTCACATTAGCTTTTACTTAAAAATCACTCGGAGCATATTTTGTTCCAGTGCTCTATTTCAAGTCAGCTAAGCTGCTGAACAACCTGGAGGTACAGACATATAGCTCAAACACTGTTGCAGGGAAGGTATGATTCCCAGCGTTTCCAGCCCCAGCCCTGCAAAGGCTGAAGTATTATGATCTCCAAATGAGAGTATGTGAAAGGCAGCCCCAGGGGATGCATCACTTACTACACTCTTGGAAGGTACTCACATGTCACACCCCGTAGTCTTGTTCAAAAATAGGCAGATGCTCAGTGTCCTCAGTTCCCATTAACTTTAGTCAAAGATGTAAATGTCTACCACATGAGTAGAGTTTCAACTCTTTGTACTTCGGGATCACCTGACATTAATGGGGGGGGGGGGGGTGGTGGAATAAAAAAAGTAGTTTATGGGTGACTATATTAAAAAAAGAACGAATGTAAACCACAGTAGGTGATACATTAGTAGGTATTGTTGCAATGCTTGAATAACTTTTCCCCTCTCCCACCACAAAGATGCCGCACATAGCTCTGTCTCCGAATAACATCTGCATTAATTTTGCTTCTGTCTTATACCCATAGATAATTACAGTTAAGGGGCGGAGCACCTTCATTACTTTCTGGCCACTGGGTGAAAAAAAAACAACAGAAAAAAATGATGATCAATCATTTCTTTTTAAGTCAGCATACTCATCCTGCTTCCTATCCCTTTTGCTACCACCAACATGTTAAATCACAGCAGCTGCTGTGGGGGAAACATGAATAAAGGAGATAACTATGCTTTTTAAGGTCCTACTGAATTCCCTCTGTCTCACTCTTTTAACACCAGCAACATCAGAAAAATGCATGCGTGGAAAAAGAAATTACAAATCCTGGGAATTTTAAGATGGTTCTTGTAATTGTTCCTCCATTCTGTAGTTGCCAAGCTTTCCTCTTTTTATTCTGCTTCCCTTTTTTTAAGTGCCATCTTTTCCCATTGCCAAAGTACAGCCATCATATAATATAAACCAGATGTATTTCTGCTGTCTACCCAATCTTGCAGAAAACTACCTCGAAGAAAGCACTTAAATGCAAGAAAACTTGAGAAAATCTTACCCATTCTCCTCCATACATTTCTACAAAGTGTGATATTCAACATTTTATTATGTCCAATTAATTACTACAGTCACAAAGCACATCCATATTGTTTTTTTTTCAGATGAAAAATATTATACACGATGAAACGTAGCACAACTTCAGGGATACATTAAAGAAAAAAGGCATAGTTCCTGCACATTTTCAACTTGGCCTCCTTGCACATCCTGCCTATTTATAGTATCCAGCTAACGTTTGGATTTATACAACTAAAGTTAACTACAATATATTCAGAAGATGATTTTGTGTCTCGGGATTACCAGCATACACCAGCTGGAGCTAAAACCTAAAGCTATGGTGGGTAGAGTCAGTTTATCTTCTTCAGAAAGTATGATCCTCAGCAGACAGGGGGCCCAAAGAGCAGCCCAGCGGAGAAGGACTTGGAGGTGTTGGTCAACGAGAAAAAGAACATGAGCAGGCTTCAGTGTGCGCTCACAGCCCAGAAAGCCAACCGTATCCTGGGCTGCATCAAAAGGAGTGTGACCAGCAGGTCAAAGGAGGTGATCCTGCCCCTCTACTACACTCTCGTGAGACCTCACTCGGAGTATTGTGTGCAGTTCTGGCGTCCTCAGTGTATAAAGGACATGGAACTGTTGGAACAAGTCCAGAGGAGGGCCACGAGGATGATCAGGGGACTGGAGCACCTCCCGTATGAAGACAGGCTGAGGAAGTTGGGGCTGTTCAGCCTGGAGAAGAGAAGGCTGCATGGAGACCTCATAGCAGCCTTCCAGTATCTGAAGGGGGCCTATAAGAATGTTGGGGAGGGACTCTTCATTAGGGACTGTACTGGCAGGACAAGGGGTAACGGATTCAAACTTAAACAGTGGAAGTTTAGATTGGATATAAGGAGGAAGTTCTTTACTGTAAGGGTGGTGAGGCACTGAAATGGGTTGCCCAGGGAGGCTGTGAATGCTCCATCCCTGGCAGTGTTCAAGACCAGGCTGGATGAAGCCTTGGGTGGTATGGTTTGGTGTGAGGTGTTCCTGCCGATGGCAGGGGGGTTTGGAACTAGATGTTCTTAAGGTCTTTTCCAACCCTAACTATTCTATGATTCTATGATTCTCTGATTCTATAAAACAAAGTCATATACCCAAATGCTAAACCTTGGCTCTGTAAAACTGACCACCTCATAAGAGGAGGCCTGATTCTGAAGTGCCTCCATTCTCCTCCGTATCTTTACACTGCCCATTAAGGACTTGCATTTTTTTGCTAGCTTACATATGCAATGCCTGTGATCATTTTTAAAGTTAAGTAAAAATTCTGTTAATTTCAAAAATCTTTACACAGTCCTTCCTTATAAAAGCTTTCTATGGACCCTGTGGTTCACAGACTATGGTTTAAAAGTCACTGCTGCAGACTGATTTAACTCTGCAAAGCTGAATACAATTTTTTAGGGAACCTCAGCTTTGCAGGAAAATAAATTCTGAAGAACCCTATTTCTAAGAGAAACTACAGCAGCTTTGCCTTTCTAACTGTGGAAAGCTAAAATCTTCTAGGGGTTTCAGTTTCTCAGACAGCTCAACCCAGATAATTGACCTTGTCTCAAAGACCCTGTAGTAATCAGGATTTACCTCGATATTTTCTGATATACATGACATCAAATGTAAAAGGAGAAAAATAAATGGTGCTAGAGATTCAACCTTTGCATTATATGACCTCTTGGAAGACTTTCATATTCATGTATGTCTGCCCACTTGATATTCTACATGATACACATGCACACCTAATCATACCTAAAACGGACAGCATTGCGGTTAAGGAGGCACTCCAAGAGTGTGGAAGTACCAGAAGGCAGGTTTCACCCTTTGCTCCCACATTAAAGTCAGAGCTAAGATTACACAATCATGTCAGAGTTCTTGCTTCTGGTACCTATTTTCTCTTCCCTCTATTTCCTTTCACCTCTGTTTCCCCATGCAAACCTCATTCTTTTTCATCTGCTGAAACCAACATCCAGCTCTTGTCTTTCCATCCAACATCAAATGCCCTGTGCTCTCCTTGGCTGTTTCTGCTCTCACTGTTTCTGTCACCATCCATCTATTCACTCATTCACTTTCCACACCCCAAGTTCTTTCAGTTTTCTTTGTCCTGGTCCCCACAATCTCCAGCAATGCTTCATCTTCCCTCCTCTTTGGCCAGATAATCCCAGACCTCACCTCACCCATGTCAGCTTCCATAGCCAGTCTCCTGGCATGGCAAGTCCTTCCTCCATCCACATCCTGGTTCAGTCTCTGCTCTTGTGTCTTTCTCCAGGCTCTTCTTCCCAGCTTTTCTCCTGGCTGGTTTCACTCGCTCTCAGCAGCCACACCATCTTCCTCCTGCTCTCTACCCACCTGTTGTCAGGAAAACCAACCAGAGCAGAGAAGGGAGGCTTCCTTCTCACTCTGCCTTTTTACACCACCTTATCCCAGTGTCTTTTCCCAACCTCCTGGCTAAGCAGGTATTGTGGGAAAAGTCTGCCTTTGCCCCCATGGCCTCTGATCTGCTCAGACAGCAGGATCTGTGCTCCCAGTGGAACATGGGACCTGGAGGGTGGTGGGATACCTTTGGTTATTTGGTAAGGGATGTGCACTGAAAGTCCAGACATGCACAGGAGGAATTGGACCATAATCAGGTTTCTGCTAATAAAAGAGACTTCATTAAATTAGTGTGATTTTTAGGAGGATTACAACATGGTCATGTGTTCTTCAAGGTCATAAAAGAGCATTCCCAACCCAGAAAATGCATTTCCAAATTCCATTTTTTTCCCCTTAGCCATAAACATGCTAGGGCTTCTCAGAAGAAATTCCAGAATATTTTTAACAGGGATAATACAGTGGACTTTCCTTGTTTTGCATTCTAAAATGGTATGACTACTTTGGCTGGATTTTTCTAAAAGAGAGTTTACAAGGTTCTGGCCAGAGAGGTCAAAGATGAGTCAGAATTACAAAGGAATGAAGCCAGGGTGGCATACTAGGAGATGGTGGACTACCTCAGAAGTGCACTAAACAGCTGTCCTACCTCTCAGATCCAGCTAACACAAGTCAGAAATGTTGTTACTGCCCAAGATCTCCAAGAGGAGCCTACATTTGGCGCCTCACCACTGCTCTAGTTTTAAAGTAGTTACCGTGTTTACTACAGAACTTAAAAGCTGTTAAGAGACATCAAATGATGACAGCTCTTCACAGCAGCTACCCTGTGCTGGACCTCAATAGCAGACCTTTTGAGGCTCTGTGCACTTGGCAATGGTAGCTTGCTAACAGTAGAGTTCCACTCACAGAGTTTGTTTCGTGGTCCTTTGTAAATACAGACATTCATTTGGCATTCAAGGCACACAAAAAAAAAGCCAGTGTAGTTTATGCCTATACTGTGAAATGACTCTGGTCTCAAAGAAGGGATTTCAGGCACAGGAAATATTTGGCTTAGGTTTAGGCATTCACCATCTCAACATGTGGACAACACTGTTCCCAATACAATGCACCTACAGTGTAGTAAGCATGCATGCTCACTTATGAGTAAGTGCCCTTGATCTCCTGAGCCACCACAGAGAATTTGGCTCTCTTGCAGTAATTCAGAAAGTAGGGGAGTGCTGGCTGTATTTAGTTACAGGTTTTTGAGAGTTTGAAACATTTTGTTATTTGGTC